GGAGCCCGATGTGGGACTCGATCCCAGGACCCTGGGATCATGACCTGAGCCGAAGGCAGTCGCTTAACCAACTGAGCCACCCAGGCGCCCAGAAATATCTGCATTTTAAATAAGAGAAATGTTTTGATTCTATTGAGTTCATTTTTAAGTTAATTAAAAATGATCCTGTTACCTTTAAAAATCTTTTAAGATATTCTTTATAAGTCATAATTTTTATTTCTGGTTTGTATATAATGGTGCTATTGTTTTCCAAGGTATTTCTAAAATGGAGGCTCCAACCATATAAGTATCTGAAGCCTTGTGTCCTTCTGTTAGCATTTAGAAAGGAAAATTACATGTTTATAGCTCAATGTAAATTTGTATGAGAATTCAGGTGTTTCCAATCAGGTCTGGCATTGCAGGTAATATAAAGTACTGTTTGAACTTTTTATAAACAGAGCTTTTGAAAAAAATTCTGAAATCTTTCCCTCCCATCATGGATTTAATTGGAAAGAAAAATCCTTGAATGGTATACCTGGATAAGATAGGAACTTTCTGATAATATAGTCTTGCTTTATCACAGACTCCTATAGTCATCCTCATTTCCTTAAATCTTTTCATATAACTAGGGGTTTTCTTTGAGAATATATGCCTATAGGGGCGCCTGGGTGGCTCAGATGGTTAAGTGTCTGCCTTCGGCTCAGGTCATGATCTCAGGGTTCTGGGATCTAGTCCCACGTCGGGCTCCCTGCTCAGCAAGGAGCCTGCTTCTCCCTCTGCCTGCCACTACCCCCTGCTTGTACTCTCCCCCTCTCTCTCTCTGGCAAATAAATAAATAAAATCTTAAAAAAAAAAAAAAAGAATAGATGCCTATAGAGGTGAGATGGTATAAGGTACTTATATTTGAATATTTTCAAAACAAAGGAAATGTGTTTGAGCTTCATTGCTAGATACAGAACTGTCATTAGGAGTTTCTTTCTGTTGCTGATTAACAACAGAATGATTGTTTTCATTTATTATTTGGAAAAAACAATTTGTTAAATCTGTGACTAAATGTGATGTGAGTTTTCTTCTTTGAAAGTTTCACCATATGCATTTTACAATCTTAAAATCACTTTGAACAAAGGAAAAGGTTGCTTTGTAAAATAATCTCTCTATTCATAAAAATGTTTAGACATGCATGCTTACCCCACTATCCCTCCAAATAAATATATACAAATAAACAAGGATATTGTAGGATGGAATTTTATGGTTCTTGGAATTGGAGAAATAAGTGATTCTAATTTTATGAATAACAAATTTTGACTTAGAAAATGATATAAATTATAAAGTTGCCAATTTTGGTTTAATGTTGAATTTTTTTAGAGGCTCAATGGTTGCTTAGATTTAATTGAAATCTCTACTGAAAGACAGTTTTTACAAGACAGAGTCAATGGGTTCATTTGTCTATTATGTTTTATGTCAACATACAAAATATGTGTTACAATGTAATATCTCATATACTGAAGAAAGAAACCACCTTATAGGAAAAAATTAGGTAGATCCTTTAGCTCTCAAATAGTTGTAACTATTGATTTTATTTTTTTCTCAGCACATTAATAAATTTGCTACCCATTGGGAAATTTTTAATAATTGAATAGTTGTAGTTATTAACGCTAAGAAGTAATTTAAGGAAATAGATACTTTGAGGAATTGTGTTTCACCTAGACTTGAAAAAGGTAATCCAAACAGCAAACATTTTTGAGCACTTAATGTGTCCTACACATTGTACTAAATGCTTTACAATCTGTTTTTCATTTAGTTCACAGCAACTCCTTGAGGTAGGTATTAGTATTAATCTGTTGTACAGATAATGAAACTGAGACATAAAGATGGAATAGTAATGCCCTGAATGTTGGGCTTTATTTTTTTATTTTGTCAAATCTGTTAACTTAAATTGATCATGTCTTATACTTTGATAGCATTCTGATTTCTTTCACATATATTTCATCTGATATTGGTAGAAAGACATACCGTGAATGCTCAAGCCCAGATTATTTACAAATACATGTTCTGTAGCTCTCTAGTTCTTACTGTTGATAATCATCTTTTTGTTCAGTTATTTCACAGCAGCTACTAACCCAAGAGAGGTATTCTTCTCCCTCTGTCCAATTTCCCAACCCCACAAAAAAATCCATTTAGTTGCTAAAACTTTAAAATATTAACAACATACTAGTTGGAAAATCAGTTCAAATTTTATATCAGGTTTTATTTTGCTTCCAGACCTGTGAAATCAAAGGCTCTCTTCTCTCCAGTGCTTCTGGAGAAATAGCAGAATGTTTCCTCTTGATGGCCTAGCTTAGTATTACCTCCCTATTTGCTGTTCCTTATGTGTGAAGATTTTGTATTTCTTCAAAACAGTATAGTTCAAACACAGTAGACTAAAGATGTGTGCTATCTTAAATGGTTTTGTTTCTAAAATTCTTAGGCAATTAGGATTAGAGCTACTGTAACACTTTCTGTAGTTTATTTTTTATTAAAACAATAACATTCTATTTTTTCTTTTATTTATGATTGGTTTTTAGCATTGCTGCTTGTTATTTTAAACACCTGGCTTTCTTCATTGAACAGTTTTATTTCCTTTAATCCATGTGAAAACCTTGCTATTAGTTATATTCATGTTATTTCATTAATGCATTTTTGTTTGTTTATACATTTACTCTATTTGATTAAGGATAAGAACTCCTGTACTTTTTAAAAACCTTTCCAAAACCAAATAGAGAAATTAGTGATTTTTATATATTTCTTTTTGTCTGTTTTAGGATGGCTACCATAGAGTAGTTAATATTGTGCCAAAGAAACCATCACTGCTAGACAGACCTGGTGAAGGAAGCTACAGTAGATATTACAGTCATGTTGATTACCAAGAATATGACGAGGGCCGCAGTTTTTCTCATGATCGAAGAAGTGGTCCACCTCACAGAGGAGTATGTAAATTTCCCCCGTGTACTAATTGTTATTTTTTATGAGTTTAAAAATCATGTAATTTTTGAAATTTATGTGACTGGCCATGAAGGCAGTTGAATAAACACTTCCTGCTTGATGCTCTATTGAGTTGCCTGCTAGAGCTGTCAAATGGGAACTGGTAATGGAGAATCTTGGGACAAAGTGGGTAAGCCACTCTGGGTAGCTCTATCTAAGTGACATTAATTCCAACTAGCCTGTGTTTTTATCCCCGAAATTGGCAAGAATTTGCAAAGCAGATAAAGATAATCTACATTGCCTTGGTACTCAGTAAGTGATGAGCAGCAGGTGGTTACCATCTCTTACTGGATGTATCCACTTATAATTACTTTGATTATTTTCATCATGATGAGATGCTGTGGGTGAGGTTGGGTTACACTTGAGCTTCAGTATCATTTTTGTTATACTTCCTAAAGTTTACTTAGTAACTCAAAGTAGAAAGCTCTCAAAACACTGCCTGTCCTATATAAAATAAACACTTTTTAAATGTTAGCTTCTATTATTACCATTATTGTTGCTATTGTATTTTTTTCTTGATCATCTTTAATAATCTAGAAGTATGTATTTAATGTTGCAATAATCTGTCATTGAACTTAATTACAACTATTCCTTGATGCAGTTCCTTTGACTTAGCTTGTGTGTTTACATCACTCCTCTGCTAGACTGTTTACTTATATTTTCTCTTTTCCCCTTCCCTACTATATAATATTGCAATTAACAGTACATATTCAAACACTGTTTATATTAAAATTTGACCTCACATTGGCTGTTGGAATTACTTTCCATACTTTGCCCTCAAAGAAATGGAGGTAAGGTGATTTACCCAGGGTTGGGTATGTGTGGAAGTCCAGTTCTCTTACTACTGCATCATGGTGATCCTTGACAATTCTAAAGTAGTAATGAGACTATTCAGTGTTTTCTTGTCATTTTAAAGTTTGGGGTGCATAGCTTCCTTCTCTTAGAATGGATTTTTGTTTTGTTCAATTTTTAAATATCTTGCTGTTCCTTTAGGGAGAGGAATTTGGTGTTGACAAGTAAACATTGTACATTATCACTATTGTAGAAATACTGGATTTTGCCTTCGGAGCTATTATTCCAGGTAGTCTGAGGAACAAAAATATTGGCCTTTACATAAAGTTGTTATCCCTCTTAGGAAAACCAAAGGTGGCCATTTAATGTGGATAGGGAATTTTGGATTCATTGGATCAATTTGTATTTGAATCCTCATGAATATGATTTTTTCCCTAAAACCTTGTAGCATCACCATTAGTTTTTTGTTACAAGTTGTGTTTATTCTTACTTTATACAACATTTTCTCTTTATATTCACTTCAAACAAAGTAAGTCCATTTGATATCCTTAGGACTCCTGTGACACTAATTTATCTTGAGTTCAGTTATATAAAGAAAACTACTTATTTGATCTAATATCTTATAGCTGTTGAGTTTTTTCTTTTGTTTGTTTATATTTACTGTTGGGGAGGAAAGTGATGAATACATTACTCTTATGTTAGAGTATATGATGCTAAAGAGGAAAATGAAGATAGTATTTATTTTACCTGATTTAGTATTTCTGATTGTGAATACTTAACATTATTGTATTGTTAATTCTTGTTCTATATTCTATATATAATTTTAAAGCAATTGGGCATGAGTTACTGTGTTTTTTTTATGTACCTTTTCAAATGTATCTGTTTTAGAGGACAAAATATGCTTTTTTTTCATTAATTTTAAACTTAGTGTCACATCTTGCTCTAATATAGCTTTTCGGTAGGTGATAGCTTCTTATTATATTGTTTCCAATTATAGATTTTAGTGAGAATCAAGATGAGAAAACAAAACTTGAACCAAAAAAGTGGGAAAGTAAATTTTTTTTTTTTTAAGATTTTATTTATTTATTTGACGGAGAGAGACACAGCAAGAGAGGGAATACAAGCAGGGGGAGTGGGAGAGGGAGAAGCAGGCTTCCCGCAGAGCAGGGAGCCCGATGCGGGGCTTGATCCCAGGACCCTGGGATCATGACCTGAGCAGAAGGCAAACGCTTAACGACTGAGACAACCAGGCACTCCAGGGAAAGTAAATTCTTCATTGGGCTTGAATTTGAAAATTGGTGATAGAACTTGACAGAAGGAAAATAAAATGAAAGGTTGAGAAATGTATGCTTGATTAAATTTAAATTGGGCCTTTGTTCTTGTAATGGTCCTTAGCTGTTGTGATGTTGGCATGTTTTTGGCAATAAGGCTGTTAGGGCCTACCAAAGAAATACCTTAAGCATTTTCATAGAGCTAAATCGTACCACAGGTTCTCGGTCTACTAAATTACTTGTTGAAATGGATGATTTGCTATATCTTTTTTCCCCCTTTTTTATGCCTTTGAAGCTCAGAGAAATTTAGAAAGGTGTTTTTGTCCTCATATTATTTTGGTCTTAGAGATGTTTCCAGTAGTACTGATATATCCTACTTGACCAAAATAATGTAAACAAATATCTAAAGAACTTTTTTATTTTACAGGATGAATCTGGCTATAGGTGGACAAGAGATGATCATTCTGCCAGTCGACAGCCTGAGTACAGGTAAAATGATAAACATAGTACCATAACTACTTTGATACTTGATTCACTGAGATGTCTGCTGTCAAAATCTAATCTCAAGGCTCGTAGATGAAATATTTATTAGGATTTATAATTTTGAGAGCAACAAACATTTTTATGACTGTAATATAACAGCACTAATAGCATTCTGTATCTATTGGCATTTTGAAAACTGATAATAAAAAAATAATGTTTGGTATATTCTCATCAAATTAATTATTAAATTATTCCTAATGTGTAATGTGGATTATAAGGTATCTGTTTAATTAGGTTAAGGCTTTTTTTCCCCTTCAGAATATTTGAGTCCTTACAGAGTGTCTCTTATTAACATATTTTGGAAGAACTTCAGTCGTTGTTAGCCTTGGTTACTTATAGAGACATCTGATAGAATAGTTGGGGGGGGGGGAAAAGATGGACAGATTTAATCAAGTTTGTTTTATTTTTATTTTTTAGGTTATTTAATAGAGCGAACAAGCGCAGGGGAGGGTTTGAGGGGCAGAGGGAGAGAGAGAAGCAGGCTCCACACTGAGCAGGGAGCCCGATGCAGGGCTTGATCCCAGAACCTTGGGATCATGATCTGAACCATCCAGGCACCCCTCAAGTTTGTTTGTTTGTTTGTTTGTTTAATGACTTTACAAAGGAAGTAGTAGAAGTTATAAAGGAGCTTTCTAAAGATTTCCTATGGGGGCGCCTAGGTGGCTCAGTCGGTTAAACATCTGACTCTTGATTTTGGCTCAGGTCATGATCTCAGGGTCATGATCTCAGGGTCGTGATATTGAGCCTCATGGAGAATCAGGCTCTGTGCTCAGTGGGGAGTCTGCTTGGTATTCTTTCTTTTTCCCTCTCCCTCTACCACTGCCCTCCCCCTCTAAAGAAAAGATTTCTTACAACTCTCAGAGAATAACCTATATACAAGGGAAAGTAGTCAACTGCTACAACTCTCTAGGTGCCAGAAGTAGACAACAGGATTCAGTGAATCAGAGCAAGGCAGCTGATTACTCACAGCACCTCAGTCATCAGGGACATCAGCATGGTAGTGCCAGTTCCCTGCCCCCAAGTCCCATAGGGTGATGTGGTGGGCAGAGATGGTGGCTGGGCATACAGTAGGATGCACTGCAGCTCAAGAACACAGGGTCAAGAGCTTGCTACTTTTTTGTAGTAAGCAGGAAGCAAGCAGGCCAGTCCTTCTTTCGTTAAGAGTGAGCAGTCACACAGTAGTTATGCTGTGGTCACCTTGACCTATTTAATTGTCTCTATGACCAGCTACAGAAACTGTTCAACGTCAGTGGTTGGCAAGGTCTTACAGTTTGGAGTACACAGCAGGGGTGTGCAGGGATGCACTCATGGAGGACTGCCTTCCCAAAAGAAGTAATAGAGAAAAGAGATGCTGAAAAATACTTTAATAAAATATAATTACTGTGTTAAACATAACACAGTAAGTTTTAGACAGCTAGGAATAGAAGAGAATTTCCTTTATCTGATAAATGGGTATTTGCTATACTGAATGGTAGAGTTAGAAGCATTTGCTTTAAAATCAGAACAAAGCAAAGATGCCTGTTATCACTGCTTCTATTCATCCTGGTAATGGAGGTCTCAGCCTCCACAGTAAGACAAGAAAAATAAAGTAGTAAGGGATAGAATGAAAGAAAGCTATTTACAGATGATAAATTATGTAGAAAATCCAAGAGAGTCTGTAGACTTATTAGAACTGTTTAGTTCTAATAAAAATAAAAAGTTTTTAATAAAAAAATAAAAGTTTAGTATAAAGAAATCAGCTGTTAGCATAAGTTAGAAAATGTAATTTAAAAATATTTTCTATAGCATAAAAACTATAAGGAGTAATGGGAAGAAATCTAAAGTGTGTGAGAGTTACGTAGATGAAATTGCAAGTCATTTCTAAGGGACATTTAAAAAGACCTGAGTAGAAGAGCAACATATATATGACATCCTTGGCTGGGAAGAGACAGTATCATGAAGATATCAATTCTCAAATTCAGATGTTCATTCAGTTTGGTTCCAGTCTAAATTCTAGGATTTTTCTCTATGGAAGTTGGCAAGCTGTTTCTAAAATTACGATGAAGGAGTAAAGGGCCAAATGGCAAAAGTAGCCTTGAAAAAGATGTGAATGAGTGACTCAGTATACTATCTATCAAAACTTATCAAGCTATAGTAATGTAAACAGTGAAAGAGGGAGTCTAGAAACAAACCTAGATATACCCAGGAGTTTGGGATATAGCAGCAGTGGCACTACAAATCAAATGGGGGAAAGAATGAACTTCCCAGTAAATAGTGCTGGAATAAATGGCTATCCATTTGAGGAAAAAAAAGTGACCTGGTGTATCAAAATATCTGGTATAATAAAGACCTAAATATGAAATGCAAAAGTGTAAGAAAACTCTTGATTAGATTAGCCAGTGGTTTATATTCACTCCAAAGGAACAGTTAGTTCTCAGATTGATTTTAATTTATTTCAATTTTTAAAATAATAGTTTGTTTCTATCTTTATTCTTCCTATCTTTTTTTAGCACTTTATTATTTTCCTGTGTGTGTATATAATTTTACATAAATGGAATAAAATCATATGGGACTCCCTGTTTCCCACATTCATGTTAACAGCTGGGTGTATGTTCTACTATATTTTTCTCTATATTCATAAACATTTGGGGTATTTGTTGTTAATGAGATATTATACTGTAAGTTGCTTTTCTCATTCAGTGGCTTGTGGAAATCCCTCCAGGTTACTTGGTTTAACTTTTACTTGAATCTTTTTATGGCTAAGTTACATTCCATCATGTGGATATACCAAATAATTTAGCTGTTCACCTATTGATGAATATTCACTGTTTCTAGTACAAAACGGTGTAATAAGTCTGAGTATATGATGTCATTATGAAACAGTACTTTAGTTTCTATGAGATAGATTGCCAAAAGTGGAATTTCTGGGTCACAGGACATACATATCTTACAGTTTAATAGATGTTTTCAGTTTGTCTTCTAAAAGGCTTGTAACACTTATGTTTCCATTTTTGAAAAAAAACTAACATTTTAATTTGGATATTTATATTTCTTTCCATCTTATTTATGAATATAAGTAGAGTTTTAAAATTTCTTTTAAGAATTGCTATAACTGTATCCCATAGATTCTTAGAGATAGCAACTTTTTATTTTTTAAGTAGGCTCCATACCCAGTGTGGAGCCCACCGTGGGGCTCGAACTCATGACCCTGAGGTCAAGAGTCAGACATTCAACTGGCTGAGCCACCTAGGCGCCCCTGATAGATAGCAATTTTATACTGATTCCAACATAGTATATTTTAGTTATTCTGTGATCAGAGAGTGTTGTCTGTACTCATACTCTGTTTGATATTTTTTGGTATAGAGTTCATTCTATATGGTATATTCATTGATTTGATAAATATTTATTGGGTGACTGGTACATGTCCGGTATTCTTCTAGCATCTGGGGATAAAAAGGTTCTGCTCTCATTAGCCTACATTTTAGTATGAATTGTGGATCATAAACAGATAAAAAACAAAACATTTTTTATGAAGAAAAATGAAATGGTAGTGGTATAGAAGGGGCTTCTTCCACATCTTCTGTACCTACACTTGATGTCTGGGTGTCCTCGGTGACATTTCAGGTATTAGGTTATCACAGAAGCTAATGCTTTTCCAGGCTAGCATCTTTCTGGCTGTAGTTTGTTCCCTGTTATATGATCTCACTGAAGACTTTGTGAATAGAAAATAACTTTGTTTTAGAGGGAAAAAATCATTGCATTGTAGCCCATGCAGAGAATACTTGTATATATTGGTAAGCGAATAAGGTTCTGAGTATTTAGGAAAACCATGCCAACTAGTGTTTTTGTTTTTATTGGGGTGTACATGATAATTCTTTATATTGTGGAAAGAAAATAGACTATTTAAAACATTTTATTTGATACAGTTTTTAAATTTATAGAAAAGTTGCGAGAATAATTTAAAAAACTAGAGACCCCAGTAATGTCTCCCACAATGCCCTGATAATGTGTTTTATGGCAAAAAGATCTACTCTAAATTCGTAGATCATATTTTTGTAGACGTCCTTAATCTGGAACAGTTCTTCAGTCCATTCCTTGATTTTTGTGGCTCACTGTTTTAGGCAAGATGAACACAGGGCAAACATTTTGTAGACTTTCTCAATTTAGGTTTGTCTGATGTTCATGATCCGATTTCAGTTATGCATTTGTGCCAGTACAATCCCTGAAGTGATGCCGTATTCTTTTTATTGCATCCTATTAGGTTGCACATGTTGTTGATTTGTTCCGTTATTGGTGGTGTTGACTTTTATCGCTTGACTAAGATGGGGTCTGCAAAATTTCTTCTCTGTGAAGTTGGCCTCTTCCTTTGCCTGACATTGGTGTTTTGTTGGGGAGATACTTTGAAACTGTGCAAGTATGCCATTCTTCATCCCATTTTCATCCACTAGTTCTAGTACTCATTGGTGTTTCTTGCCTGAATTATCAATATAATTGTTTGTAATGGTGATTTTGTAATTAGACTGTTCTTTCTCTATTCATTATGCATAGTGTTACCTGTTTCCCGTTGTGAGAAAGAGCTTTCTCTTCTCTCCACCATCCCCTTTAAGAAAAAAAAAACAAAACTTTGTTTATATCAGTATGGACTCGTGGGTTCCTATTTCCAATGTGTTATAATCTGTTGCTATCATTATTAGGATGCTGAAATTTGGTCAGTGAGAATCCCTACAAGTTAGCTTCTGTGTTTTTTCAAAAATACTTTGCTGTAGAGGCATATGTATAACATAAAATATGCCATTCTAACCATTTTTAAGTGCACAATTCACTAGCATTAATTACGTTCACAGTGTCAGGTAAGATGGTTACACTAACAAACACGATTTTCAAAACTTTTTTTCATCATCCCAAACAAAAACTATACCTGTTAAGCAATAATTCCTCATGCCTCCTTACTCCCACCACCATTTTAC